TAAACTTATTTTGTTGTGAACCACAGCGTAAGTCCTTACTTAGCTACAAATATAAACAAAACAATTAAAATAAAAGCCCCCCCCCTTTTTTTTTTAACACAAACCTAACAGGCAGAAAGAGGAAAGGAAAAAGCGAAGAGTCCTGAGGGAAAAGCACTTTGTTGGAAGAAGAAATAAGCTCTTCCTTCTTTATTTTTGGAGAGAATTTTAATTTTTAAGCACATTACATCGTATTCTCCAAAGTCACTTGTTTTAATCCTTAAGGCAATTATTTTAAACGGGAAGGAAAATAAATTGACCCCAGATGTAGCATGTGTCTACACCCACGTGTTTGAGAGGGATGAAGGATGGCAGTAATTTATTTCTAACATTCAAAAAATACCAGACTTGGGAGTTTTGGGGCACCCCAGAGCTTCTTAGCAAATATATCTCTGAATCTTAAATATGTTTGCTATCCAAAAAAGCAACTTTAAAAAAATCCTGTTATCACTGGGAGGATGTTTTAAAATACCTATCCTCATTAACCACAGTCTAGGAGGCAGAGGAAATAAATGTAATGTTGCAAAAAAACTGTTTCTTTGACTTTTTTTTTTTTCAAGATTATCCCTGGAAAAACTTTTTGGAACTGCATGTTGGCTGGGCCTTGAAGATTGTCTGCAGCTGTCAAGGGAACTCTTCCGAAAATGGATGAACCATCCAGAGCATGAGTAAGAGTAATATTATAACTCCCTTTGTTTCTGCCCTGTTTCAGCATCAACAATTTGTAATGTTCTCACTCTGGGACTAACCAGTTTGCTTTCGCTTCTCTTTGCTAATAATCTTTTCAAATGGCTTTTTAAAAAATCTGATAAAGATCTGTGCATAACAATGGAAAATTAGTGTCTTTCCTTTGTCAATACACTTTCCAGGAAGCACTTATTTTAACTCTTGGTGTTTGTATAATCTTGGTGTTTGTATAATCTTATATAGGTCACTCTTCATAATTTTTACTATTGGTCTACATCTAAGGTCGTCAAAACATGTCTCGTTCTCTCTGAGTCTGTATTCCCCCCCGAGTGCTGAGATTAGGATTCTGTTATTTTGATTATCGTTAATGTATCCTTGCCAATGGACCCTTAAGAAATGAAAAGAGATATAAGACCAAATTGAATTATCCATATACAGTATTTATATAATTCTGATTTACTTCTCCTTTAGAAATCTCCTTAGTTTCTAAATTAATTCATTGATCTCTTCTCGGGTGTTAGTGCTAATTATAGTTCCTATTGTTGACCTACTTTTGATCTTTTTATCAGAGATTTCAATTTTTTTTTCTTGATTTACACTTTTAAACACATAACAACATAGATAACTGTATAACCTTACTACCATGAGAGATTTCATCACATGTTATACCTTACAGAATACCTTATCCAATTAGAAGTGTGATCTTGTGTTACGGAATCGCCCTGGGAAATGATAAAGAATGGGACTTTTTGTTCAGTATCTACACCAATGAAAGAAATGAAGACAAAAGGTTTCAACTTGTTTATGCTCTGAGCTGCAGTAAAGACCCATGGATACTTCACAGGTGAGCATGATCATTGTTTCAACTGTAACCGTAATTGTGAGGATGGCGCAGGTGTGGGCAGTGTTCTCTGTGGTATAAAGGGTTGCTACGAGTTGGAACCAATTAGAAGACATCTAAAACCAACTTGATCAACTTACTTTGAAAGTCCCTGGGGCAGGAATGTAGCTAACAAACCAAATGGGGAAAAATAGAAACATATTCATATAAGAATTTAAACAAGCATGTCTGTGCATCACCAGCTTAGAACCATGTGGGACTTTAATTCCATTTGTTTAAATTAGCATTTTATATTGAATTACAAAACTATTTTTAAATGTACTTTTGCAGATACATGCAATATGCCATCAGTACAGCATCACTCAATTTAAATGAAACAAATATTATTGAAGTTGTGGCATCATCTGAAGTGGGCCAATATGTGGCAAAGGACTTTTTAGTCAACAATTGGCAAGCTGTGAGTGAAAGGTAAGAAGGAAACTAAAGCGCTGTCCCATTGAGGTCATTGGAAGCTCCATTTTAATCTGGGTAGGTCACAAATGTCCTTTGTGTTGACTAGAAAAGTTGTGATTTTTTTGTGCGTTCAGTCTCACTACCATCTGGCTGTGTGAAGAAGACAAGGTCACTTTTGCATGAAAATAGAGTGGCATGGTTTTGCTTATTTGCCTGAGGTTCTGCACTGTACCCACGAAGGAGATTAGAGAAAGTCACGTTGCTTTTGTATAAGTGTACGGCACACATTCATTTGTTTTGTGGAACTCGCCAGTACATCTTTGAGAAAGAACAATGCTGAAAATTGCTCGCAACCATTTGCCGTTGTATGTTGTTTGGTGGAGTTGTTTGACTCTGAGCAGTGCGGTTTACCACAGAGCAGACCACTGCCTGGTCCTGCACGATCCTCACAATTGTTCATGGCTTTGAGCCCCTTGTTGTAGCCACTGTGCCAATCCATCTTCTTGATGGTCTTCCTCTTTTTCTCTGACCTTTTCTTTTAGCAAGCATGATGGTTTTTCCCAAGGACTGGTCTCTCCTGAAAACATATACAAAGAAGGAGTCGCACCATTCTAACTTCTAATGAGCATTCTGGTTGTACTGCTTATATGAAAAAAATTGTTTATTCTTCTTCCAGCCCTTGACATTTTCACTATTCTTCACCAAAGCTTTAATTCAAATGCCTCAATTCTTCTTCAGTCTTCCATATTAGCCATTAGAGAAATGTAAATGAAAACTACAATGAGGTACCATTCACTCCTGCAAAAAGTGGCACTGATCAAAAGCAAGAACAACAAATGCTGCAGAGGTTGTGGGAGGATGGGATTTGTTTTAGCTGTCTAGTGTTACTGTCATCGAGATACAACAAGTGGATGGGTTTCACAAATAGCGTTAACAAACAGAAATTTAGCCCTCACATTTTAGGAAGTGAGAAGCCAAAACTCAGGGCACCAGCTCCAGGGGAAGGCTTTCTCTGTGTCCGCGCTGGAGGGAATTCCTTGTCTCTTTTCAATGTCTGTGGGCTCAGTGTTGCTTGAAGGTCTATTGGTCTTGGTATCAATCTTGCTCTCAGACTGGGCGGTTCTCAGCTCAAAGACCATGGGTCTTCTTTCTTCATGGTAGTAAGGTCCCACCCTTCTCTGCTCGCTTCTTTTTTCTTTAATTCCTTGTAAACAGAATGCAGCCCATACCAAAGGCAACTTCTCTTAATCCTCTGGCACCACCCTAATCCTCTGACACCAACGAGGCTCATTTTATTAGATCACATCCTGAGGATGATTGCATCTTTACATAGGCTCTAACATATACAATTCTGAAAACATAGTAATAAAAATTAAAATTTATGAGTTGTTATACAGGTAGATACAGTTGTGAGATGGTTTATAAGAGTACATACATATACAGTGAACCCTCGTATCGCGGTTAATCGGTTCTAGACCCTACGGTGATAAATGAAATTCCGCGAAGTAGGATTCCTTATTTGTAAATCAAATATTTTCGTAGTTAGAGCATAGAGGACATGAAAAAACACCCTTTAGTCACCATTACACTCGTATTACCCAATTTATTAAACGAAAAAGGGGAAATACAGTAAAACATTTTGGACGTTACAATTATCATTTATTATTTATTATATTATTTATGGCATCAAGCGTGTACAGTATGAGCCAATGAGTGGCAGTAATGACAGAGCATGCGCTGTTACGCAAAAACTGCGATAGAGTGAAGCCGCGGAAGTCGAAGCGCGAAGTGGCGAGGGTTCACTGTATAGGTATAGTTGTGGGCATTTGTATAGGCTGTTGTTTAGTGCGGTCTAGTTAGTTCGGACTCCTAACAGTCCTGTGTACAATAGAATGAAATGCTGCCAGTCCTATGCCATCCTTAAAATGATTTTTATGTTTGAGTTCCTTGTGCAGCCTGTGTCAGTAAATGTCCTTAAGGGCCTTCCTCATTTTCACTGCGCCTATACCTAGCATGGTGTCCTTCTCAAGGTCTCTCCTTAATGTCCAAAGTACGAGAGGATGTCTCTCCATCCTTGCCTCTAAGGAGCACTCTGGCCTTACTGCTTCAAGACATGTTTGGTCTGTTGCCATTCCATGGTACTTTCATTAATCTTCGCCAGCACTGTAATACAAATGCATTGATTCTACTTTGGTCTTCCTTACTCAATATGTAATTTTCACGTGCACACGAGGCAATTCAAAATGCAGGCATACCTTAGTCTTCAAAGTAACCTTGCTTTTTTCAACACTTTAAAGAGGTCTTAGCCATCAGATTTACACAATGCTACATGTCCTTTGAACTCTTGACTTCTGTTTCCATGAGCATCAATTGTGGATCTGAGCAAGGCAAAATCCTAGACTTTAATCTTTCCTCCATTTTTCATCGTGTTACCTATTGTTAAGTTGTGAGAATTTCTGTTTGCTTTACATTGAATTGAAAGCCATACTGAAGGTTGCAATTAAAAAAATAGTTTTATTGGGACATAATCCACATATCATACAATTCAATAATAGTAGTTTATAATTTATCAAGGGTTTATGAGGGTGAGAGGGTTGGGGAAGGAGGAAAAAATGAGGAACTGATATCAAAGGCTCCAGTGGGAAGAGAATGTTTTGAAAAGGGCGATGGCAACATATATACAAATGTGCTTGATACAGTGGATGTATGAGCTGTTATCAAAGCTACAAGAGCCCCCAATAAAATGATTTATTAAAATAAAAATCATTACCACATCGATTTTAGAACATTTTCTTCTTTGTTGTCCTCCTTGTTATTAGCTTCCCATTTCCCCACAATCTCCCTAACATACCCAAAGAAACCATTAATCCAGTTACTGTTCAATAGATTCACTCAGCCTGGATTTCAGACACTGAAAAAACATGTAAAAATAAAGAAACAGAAATGCTAACAACAATAACAAAATAAAATAGAGAAAAACCTGAATTTTAAAATGTAGACAATATTAAAAACTGGAACAACTTTAAAAGGGGTCAAAAGGGAGATCACATGATAAGGTGTTAAATGTTAACCTAATTTCATCTACCATAATCCACTTTCCAATGTACTCTTCTTGGTTGTAAGACTCGCTATTCTCATCCCTAGTCTATGTTTAGAAGGAATTCACTGGAGGCTTAATCCATATGTATTTATACTTCACTTTTTCCCCCAAAACCATTTTATTAGTAGCTAATCCATACCATTCTATAGTTCAATCACATTGAGCAGTATTGTACAATTGCTATCCAAACCAGTTTCAAATCATTGTTTTCCTTCTTGAACTCCTTGATAATCAGCTCCTTCTTATCCCCACTCTCCCTCATCCCCCTCTAAGCCCATCAGGAACTCTTATTCGCGTTGTTTCCTCTATAGGTTCACCCATCTTGGGTTTCATACACTGAAAAACATAGAAAAACACATAACAGAGAGTCAAGAAGGCTATCCAGGGACAAAATACAACAGAGATAAACCCCTTTATGAACAAAAATAACCCACAGAAAATATTGAAAATCACATCAAGTGCAAAGTGTATCAGAGGGGAGATCAAGTGATAAGGTCTTACCTGTTTAAGTCAGATTTGTCATTAATCTGCTATAGTCATCTTTCCAGTCCTCTCTGTCTGATAGCCAAGTTATTTCCATCCCTCAATTATGGCTAGAGGGTAAATCACCAGATGCTTATTCCCTGTGTAGATCCTGATATGTATTTGGGGTTTCCACTGTCATCCATCGCTTTCTGCACTCAAGAATTTCACAATTTAAGCTCTGATACAATTCCCTCCTTTGGATTTAGATTATATAATTTACAATCCTTGGATCACAGATGTCTGTGTATTAGATGGCTGTTTTGACTTGCATTCCCCAGGTGGCTAGTGAACAAGAACATTTCTTAATGTGCTTGTTAGTCATTCAGGTGTCATCCTTTGTGAAGTCTATTCAGGTCCTTTCCCCACCTTTAAAGAGGGCTGTTTGTTTTTGGTTTTTGTCTTGTTGTAGGCCTGCCGTATTCTCTAGATTTTAGTAATTTGTCCTTTGTTAGTTATGTCATTGCTAAACATTGTTTTTCCAATCCATGGGTTCTTGTTCTACTCTTTTGATGAAATACATCTTTTGAGGTACACAGTGTTTTACTTTTAATAGGTCACATTCATCTAGTTTGTCTTCCACGGTATATGCTTCTTTTGTTACATCTGGTGGCCCATGTATGCCCTGCACTAGGGACTTTAGATTTGTCCCAATTTTCTCGTTGATGAACCTGATAGTTTGGGGTTTTGCATTTAGGTCTATGTTCTACCTTGAGTTCACTTTTGTGCATGGGGTGAGGTATGGGTCTTGTTTCATTTTCTACAGATGGAGGAGATCCAGGTTTTCCAGCACCACTTTTTGAAGAGGGAATCATCCTCTTCCCTTTTAATGTTTACTGGGCCCTTGTCAAAATCAGTTGCTGTGTTGTTGCTGTTAGGTGCCATCTAGTTCGCTCTGACCCATAGCAACCCTGTGCACAACAGAGTGAAACATTGCATGTTCCGCGCCATCCGTAGACTTGTTCCTATGCCTGAGCCTATTGTTACAGCCACTGTGTCAATCATTTCATCCAGGGCCTGCCTCTCTTTTTGCTGCCCCTCCGCTTTACCAAACATGAGGTCCTTCTCAGGGTCTGGTCTCTCCTGACAGTATGTGGGAATGTCCTAGAGTTTTCTTCATACAGCTCTTTCCTTCCTTTGGTTCGGCTTATTCCCAGGCAACTTGATTGTGAATGGCATTGTTTGGGTGTCTTCCTCAGAGCACTCCTCACTTGTACATAGGAGTCCGATTAATTTCTGCTCGTTAATCTTGTATCCTGCTACTTTGCTAAATTCCTCAAGTGTTTACAACAACCCTATTGTGGAGACCTTCGAGTTCTCTCTATAAGAAGTTTCACTTCTTCTTTGCCCGATTGTACTCCCTTAATTTCTTCTTATTGTCTTATGGAGCTGG